GAAAGGGGAAGGGAAAGGGGAAGGGAAAGGGGAAGGGAAAGGGGAAGGGAAAGGGGAAGGGAAAGGGGAAGGGAAAGGGGAAGGGAAAGGGGAAGGGAAAGGGGAAGGTTCCTCTGTCCCCAAAGAATAGCAGAGATCCCAAGGCAATTCCAGCCCTTCCAGATGCAGGTTGGGATTGGGGATGGGCAGGTTTACCCTGGAATTGGAATGGAATTGGAAGGCACCGATCCCATCAGGTCTCCAGGGACGTGGTGCCACCACCCCAAGCTCCAGTTCTCCGGGTGAGCCCTTTGCTCTCTGCGCCAGATTCCCTGCAGGAAAAAGGCACAAATCCATCTGCCCTTTCCCTGGATCAGCAGCAGGATGTGCAGGGAATCAAAACCCCTGGGGAAACCCCGAGGACAGGCCCACGTGCCACCCCCTTGATTAGCAGGAAGGAGAACAGGGGGAGGACGGAGGGGAAGCCCGTGGAGGGAAGAAAATCAAAATTCAGGCCAGCCCAGCCTTTTAATTTGATGATTTCAGGGCCGTTCACAAATTTACATATTTAATTAAATGCCACGGGCTCCCTGTTCCTTATTCCACTTCACAAGGCTCGAGTTCTCTTTCCTTGTGTGCAAGGCCAGATAAGGCTCCCCTGACATTCAGGGAAGCAGCAGGAGCACATTCCAGGGTTTTTAATGCCCTGTGGTTTTTCCTCTCTCTCCACCCCTGCTTCTTTTTCTGAGCAAGCTTGGAAATAAAGAAGAGGGAAGTTTCCTTGGGATTGTCTCCCTCCTCTCTGCCAAAGGGGCCTTGGAAGGCTGGGATAAGGAAAGGAGGAAGAAAAGGAGGAATGAGGAGGGTGAGAGCACTACAAGGAAGGAAAAGGGGAGATCAAGCAGATAAATAAAGGAAAAGGGGAGATAAATAAATGAAGGAAAAGGGGAGATCAAACAAGTAAAGGAAAAGGGGGGATAAAACAAATAAATAAAGGAAAACGGGAAATCAAACAAATAAATAAAAGAAAAAGGGAGATCAAACAAACAAATGAAGGAAAAGGGGAAATCAAACAAATAAATAAAAGGGGAAATAAAACAACTTTGTCCAGGATGGTTGGGAATGTTAAGGATCTGCTTTCCAAACCCCAGGAACCAGAGGGAAGTGTTTCTCCAGACTCCTCTCCCAGCTGGCACGTGGAGGCACCAACCGGGTGGGAAGGAGGTGCAGCAATTCCCTGCAGGATGGGAGGGAAGAAGAACCAGGTGGAATTCGAGGAAAACTGGGCAAAACTGGGTGTCCTGGTTTTGTCTGGGGTTCAACCTGGAGAAGAGAATGATTTAAGGTGACCTTACAGCACTTTCCAGGGCCTAAAGGGACGCCAGGAGAGCTGGAGAGGGACTGGGGACAAGGGATGGAGGGACAGGACACAGGGAATCGCTTCCCACTGCCAGAGGGCAGGGATAGATGGGATATTGGGAAGGAATTCCTGGCTGGGAGGGTGGTGAGGCCCTGTCCCAGGTTGGGCAGAGAAGCTGTGGCTGCCCCTGGATCCCTGGAAGTGTCCAAGGCCAGGTTGGAGCAACCTGGGCTGGTGGAATGAGATGGTCTCTAAGGTGCCTTCCATCCCAAACCATTCCCTGATTTTAAACCACACCACCAGGCTCCTCTTTGCAGAGCCCGGAGGTGGAGGTCACTGGGACAGGGACTCAAACCAGGAGCACGGAAATGCTCCCAAATTCATGGACCCAATAAAATTCAGGAGGGGGCAGGTCTGACAGCAAAGCTCTTGCAGATCTGCTTTCAGGAATTGGGATCATCCCTCTCACCATCAAGTGACACGAAGCCACACCAGCCAGGCTGGAAAATGGGATGCAGGGATGAGTTTGTTCATCCCGTGGCACGTGGATCCCACACAGACTCCAGTGCAGGAAACCCTTGGAGAGCTGGGTAAGGAGACCTTAAATCAATGAATGACTGGAGAAGGTGATGGGATAACTTTGCTGGGAACAACTCTGTTCCGAAGGAACGCCGTCCACTTGGGAAAGCAGAGTGTGATGGTTTGTGGTATGCAGCCCAAACCAGCTGAATCTTCAGCACCGGAGGCCAAGCCCTGCTGGAAATGGAGGGGAGGAAGCTCTGAGGTGCTCAGGGGTCACCAAAGAGGGGTTGAGTGCCTGTCACACGTGCCAGAGCCCGCTTTTATCCCAGACAATCCCTTTGGATTGCAGCAGGAGGTCGGACCAAGCCCCACGTGGTCACCCAAGAAGGACCCTTGGAGAATTCAGCCTTTCTGTTCATTTTTCTGGTTTGTTTGTTCGCAAAGTCCATCTCCTGAACTTCTCACTGGCCAACAAAGCCAGAGGGTCACGGGCACTTGGGGGCTCTGGGCAGGCCTGGGTTTGGGTTTGAAGGTCCAGTGTGGAGCAGCAACAAGCCCAGACTATCCCAGTCAGGAAGTGTAGCGAGTCATTAAAGTCATCCCAGTTTGGAGGCAGAAACTGGAAGAGTTTATTTGGACTCACAAGTTCCTATTTAAAGGCTTCAGGGTTTACATATTTAACAGGGGATTTACATATTCATGGTATTAAAACTGGAGGGTTTCACAAGGATGAGGTAAGAGGAAAACCCAGGTTCACACATTTTTGGGGTCTTAGGAATTACCTCATGGGAAAAACCTTATTTTGTCTTGGGGGATTTATAGGGGGGATTAGGTATTGGATAGACATATGAAAAAGGGGGAACACCATGGCTTTTATGCAGAGCTCTGATGAGATTAGGATGTGGATTCTCAGGCAGGACAGGTGATAACATCATGCAAGGAGTCTCTTCCATTCTGCTGGAGAAGGCAGGAAGAGTCCACAGAGATGAGGGCAGTGAAAAGGGTTTTTCCCCAGCTTTCGTAGCTCATGGCTTTTTGCAGAGACTGCTCAGTTCCCTCTCTGCAGATATTATATTTTTGAATCCTACAAGGAAGAGAAATTGGGGTGTCTCTTCAACAGCAGTGGGGTTGACCAGGAGAAGAGGCACCAGTTCTGGCTGCTGGGAGTGGGGTTGCAGATGTTACAGAGCAACATCAGGGGCTGTCAGGCTGTGGGGCAGAGAATCCCAGGATCACTGAGGTTGGAAAAGAGCTCTGGGATCATCCAGTCCACCCTGTGCCCGATCCCACGCTGTCCCCCAGCCCAGAGCACTGAGTGCCACGTCCCGGCCTTTCTTGGACAACTCTAGGGGTGGGGACTCCAAACCTCCCTGGGCAGCCCCTGCCAAGGCCTGACCACCCTTTCCATGGAGAAATTCCTCCTCATGTCCAACCTGACCCTCCCCTGGCACAGTTGGAGGCCGTTCCCTCTCCTCCTGTCCCTTGTTCCCTGGGAGCAGAGCCCGACTTCCCCCAGCTCCCCCCTCCTGTCAGGGGGTTGCAGAGCCAGAAGGTCCCCCCTGAGCCTCCTTTTCTCCAGGTTGAGCCCCCCCAGCTCCCTCAGCCCCTCCTGCTGCTCCAGCCCCTTCCCAGCTCCGTTCCCTTCCCTGCACACGCTCCAGCCCCTCTTTGCAGCCTCCAGACGACGGAGACACTCAGAGCTCACCTAATTTTCCGTGGTTGCTCCATCTCCCCTTTCTCTCCCGCAGCATTCCCGGTCTCTCCAAAGGCAGGGGAGAGCAGATGAGTGATTTCACTCCCCTGGAATTGCGTCGGTGCCATCTGCCGTGGCATATGCTGCTCTCACCACGCACCGCCTGCTTTGATGAGCACACAAAATTGGATCGGCGGGAAGACGAGCCCCATCAAGGAGACGCCACCAGGATCTCTTGGATCCCGCCGAGCTGGGAACATTCCTGGCTCCGGGACGCCAGAAAAAAGCCTTTTTTTTGGGAGGCTAAACCTCAGATAAGTCAAAGGAAGAGGGTATTTAGGAGAGCGGGCACATCACACACACGAGGTGATAAAGAGACGTTGAGGAGTTTAAGCCCGGCTTTGTTAATGAGGGTAATTAGAACCGAGCTCCCAGCAAAGGGAACACAATCCTGTTGTGTACACAAGCGGAGAAGAGTAAATACCCATTACTTTACCCGTTTGATCTTCCCGGAGGGATGAGGGGAATCAAAGGCTCCTGCCTGTTGTCAAACGAGCTCCTTGAGTCCTTTGGGCTCGGGGTGGGAGACTCCAGGCACGAGCTGCTCGTTCCTCCGCCAAGGAAAGTCCTTCCACAGCGCTCTGTCCCGCTGGTGCTGCTCCTCACCCGTCCCCAGGACCATCCTTGGTGTGCTCGTCCACCCTTTTCCATGGAAAATCTCTGTAGCCCCAACTCTATCCTTCTCTCCTGGAAGGAAGGAGCCGATTGCCTGGAAAGTCTTGGAGGGAGGAAGAGGATGATTACGTGGAAAGTCTTGGAGGAAGAAGGAAGGAGATGATTTCGCGGGAAGTCTTGGAGGAAGAAGGAAGGAGATGATTTCGCGGGAAGTCTTGGAGGAAGGAAGGAGTTGATTGCATGGAAAGTCTTGGAGGAGGAAGGAAGGAGCTGATTTCATGGAAAGTCTTGGAGGGAGGAAGAGGATGATTGTGTGGAAAGTCTTGGAGGAAGGAAGGAGATGATTTCATGGGAAGTCTTGGAGGAGGAAGGAAGGAGATGATTTCATGGGAAGTCTTGGAGGAGGAAGGAAGGAGATGATTTCATGGGAAGTCTTGGAGGAGGAAGGAAGGAGAT